CTCGATATGACATAAATTAAGACAAAGTAAGATAATCATTTATTTGACACACAATGGAGACATTGAAAGGGCTGCAGCAGAAAACAATACACAGTGCAAAAACCAGTATACACACACACACACACACACACACACACACACATAGAAATATCTTCCAGTCATACACAATGTTATTGTTAATAGTTGTAATTGTGTAATAATCCTTGGGAGGCAAAATGTCATGCTTGGGCCCCAGTTTGGCCATGGCTCACCTGACCTCACCTCTCCAGCGGACTGTTTCAGTCGAACCTTTCTCTCAGCGCCTGTGAGAGAAGCACTTAATCTCTATTAATGACCAGTCCTCCCACCTCAGCTCTTACCCACAGCTGTCAGACTCATTATCACTGACTCCTAAGTAGTGCCATTTCTGTGAACTGCTGCTGAAATAGAGCTTCCTTCAAAGGGCTCTGTTGTCCTGCCACGTTGGTTTCAACTGCCTTTCTAAAACATAAAAAAGTAGTCCATCCATTTGACATCAGTTTTTGGTTTAGTGTGGTATCTAAGGGCAACACTGCAGCTGTAAAACTGGTTTATATGCAGTCAGATGATTCAGTCTGGCCCATGTAAGCATTTCTTTGTGTGCAGGCAGTTTGCCGTATTAGAAGAAGATGGTCTTCAGTTACCTAAAGCTAACATGGTGAAGGTGTCACACCCCGTCCTGTCTTCTCCTAGGTTGTAGTCTGTGTCTCCGTTAATTGCTCCCACCTGCCTCTTGCTTCCCAATCACCATAGCTCCCGTTCCTCATGTATTTAAACCCCTTCTGTTCTGTGTTCCTTGTGGTGTCATTGTTTCATTGTCCAGCGTGCGTCCCGATAAATCATTATCAGAAGTTCTACCTGTCTGCCTGTTTCCTCCCCGGTCTGGATCCACGCCTTTCCTCCGCTCCACTCCGCAGCACGTCGTGACAGAAGGAATGGATTGGTTCATCCAATCTGAGGAGATTCTATCCTCTCCTTCCATGGATGTGAAAAATGCGCCCCAAACTACATAAAAGAAGTAGTTTGGATGTTATTCGGGGGATTTTCCTTTGGCTGAATTTCCTCCTGGTTCCTGATGCATCGAACCTGTACTGATGTGGGCTCTTAAATAACGTTTTCTGATGTCAAAGAGTCTGTCTCAGGGAGCCTTTCTTCAGAGCATACTCATCGGCTGATTTGAAGGTGACAACACCTGACTGAATTCACGACAGTAGGATTAGGCTTTATGTGTTGGACCCATCCACATATACTGGACAAATAATATCCATAGAATAGAATTTACTGATCCCACAGTGGGAAATTCACTTGTCACAGCAGCACCAACACTTCAGGGAATAATTTGAAGAAAAATAATAACAAAGGTACATGTACACACATAGGCAGTCGTCTAGCATTGTAACCTTTGACCACTAAAAACAACGAATAAAAAAGAAAAAAAAAACTTGGGTTCCAACACTATGCAGCACACTGCAAGAGACACAGACGTACTATGTATTTCCAGTATTGCACGAGTATTGAACACATACTGAATATTGCATTGGTGTTTTTGTGTACCAGGATAATGCCAGTACAGCTTAAACTGAGGAGTAGGACTGCACGATATCAGGAAAACCTGCGATATTCGATAACAGCGCTTAATATTGCGATATCGATATTACTCACGATAAATGAACAAATACTAAAGTATGCAGTGTTGATGTCGTCTGGCGTGTGGCGTCTGCTCTGGGTTCAAAGCAAATAAAAACTAATGCTTGAATTCCATTACAACATAACATTTATATTGCAAAAATATGCAGCCGCACCTGCTACTGTATTAGCAGCTGCACCCGCTACTGTATTAGCAGCTGCACCTGCTACTGTATTAGCAACTGCACCCACTACTGTATTAGCGGCTGCACCCGCTACTGTATTAGCAGCTGTACCTGCTACTGTATTAGCAGCTGCACCCGCTACTGTATTAGCGGCTGCACCTGCTACTGTATTAGCACCTGCACCCGCTACTGTATTAGCGGCTGCACCTGCTACTGCATTAGCAGCTGCACCTGCTACTGTATTAGCGGCTGCACCTGCTACTGTATTAGCGGCTGCACCTGCTACTGTATTAGCAGCTGCACCCGCTACTGTATTAGCGGCTGCACCTGCTACTGCATTAGCAGCTGCACCTGCTACTGTATTAGCAGCTGCACCCACTACTGTATTAGCGGCTGCACCTGCTACTGCATTAGCAGCTGCACCTGCTGCTGTATTAGCAGCTGCACCCGCTACTGTATTAGCGGCTGCACCTGCTACTGTATTAGTAGCTGCACCTGCTACTGTATTAGTAGCTGCACCCGCTACTGTATTAGCGGCTGCACCTGCTACTGTATTAGCAGCTGCACCTGCTACTGTATTAGCAGCTGCACCTGCTACTGTATTAGCAGCTGCACCCGCTACTGCATTAGCGGCTGCACCCACTACTGTATTAGCGGCTGCACCTGCTACTGTATTAGCGGCTGCACCTGCTACTGTATTAGCAGTTGCACCCGCTACTGTATTAGCGGCTGCACCTGCTACTGTATTAGCAGCTGCACCCACTGCTGTATGCACCCACTGCTGTATTAGCAGCTGCACCCGCTGCTGTATTAGCAGCTGCAGCCGCTACTGTATTAGCAGCTGCACCCGCTACTGCATTAGCAGCTGCACCCGCTGCTGTATTAGCAGCT